TCAAAGCACCTCACACGCCACACTGCTTTTTGACATAAGCCTTGTAAATAATTTCAAAGGTCTCTATTTTAGATTTGCCGAATTCGACGCAAAATTCCTGTTCGCTCTCGCTTTGGTTGGTAGTCTATGGTGAAATCGCCATTATGCTCGTGCACGTGGTCAAACAAACTCTTGTAGCGCAGCTCCAAATGTTCACAGAACGACAACCTTTGTCATGACTACACAGGGAGGTCCCTACTTTCGACTGCTGCGCGCGCATGACTGTGCTGCCCTCTCTTTTTACGCTACACAAACCAGTCTCGAAACTTCTTGATCGCACCTCGTAGTTAAAGAAACTCCAGCATGTCTTGATCGTCTCTCATAAACCCGGATACGCGCAGAGTGTCTCGCGAATGACCCGAGCGCATCCTGCGTGCGTGTGTGCCGCCGCGTGACATTATGGGTCACGTAACTGCGTGGTCTCACGTGACTTCATAACGTCACGTAACGTCAGGTGACGACTTCGTGACCGGAGTCACGTGACCGCATGGAATTACCCGTGTATGTAACTATAGAATATAATGCGCTGCAGCGTGACGGTTTATTCTTGAAATTTGACTGATAAAACACATTAGAAGAAAGGTGAACTCTCAAACGGCGGGTTCATACAGACCTCCGGTTCACACATTCGCTTACGACTGTAATTGACGGCGTTGTAAACGCTTGTGGCCGCTTGCAACGAGAGAGAACACACTGGCGCCATCTATTGAGCAACCCTGGAACACTTCCGTTTTGCGTATTTTTTACGCGTAATTCTTTCACTGCGTGCTTGACATAATCTGGCGAAGCTATCAGCGACCATTCCTCATAGAGAGTGCGTATATTTGGTCTCCCAGATACTGCAAAACCCTTCGTTCTAGTTATACGCAGATCGGGAGGGTTCCACTACAACGTGAAAGATGGCGCCAGTGTACCAGGATGCACCAGTGTACCAGCCTCCCCGCTTTGGCTATAGGTGGCGCAACCCGCCGCCCGATTTAAAGGGGTCAGCTGTACCCATCTATCCATCCACCCAGCCGTCTTGTCGTAAGAAGTCACGGGCGGACACAGCGACTCGATCGCACTCCAACGCAAATCTGTGAACCGGCATTGACCAACTGTGTTAGCTCATTGATCGGTTGAATGCCAACGCTGCGTCGTGTCCAAGATTGTTCCAAGTTTCACCTCACAATAAACTGTAGTCATTAACAGCCTAAGAAACACGGGGCGTGGCGAGTTATGGCTGCAGAGATGTAAGAAGAGGCTCGCACCTGGTTTGACTTGGGTTTAGGTCCTGAGCATAGGTCCAAAGTATAGGAGATTGTCTATATTTTTGTCTGTAGTTAGTAGAAGCACCGATCATAAGCGCAATGGACCATTTTCAAAAGTCCGCGCCATCGCCTATCCACTATAGCTTTATCACCTACTCTGAGCATGTATTAGACACAAGGACTGAGCCATCTTTCGGCGTGAACTCGACTCGGCTCGTATTGAAAACGGGTGCTGCTTCGGCGTTCGGCGAGTACTCGGATGCAATCACGTGCTTTGTGCTCAATGCATGGATGAATGAAAGGATGGATGGATAGATGGATGTTAATGGCTATACCCTTTGTAACGGGCGCTAACTTGCGCCACCTAGCTTAAGTCTGAAAAGAACAAGAAATGGCAATCATCAATATTCCTTGATGAACTTGTGAAAAGGGTCTATAGCTAGAGTAGCTACGCCTTATGTGTTATGTTGTGTAACATTATTTGTTCCAAATGTACTTTTCTTTTCTTTCTTTCTTTTTTTTTTTCTTCTTATTTTTGGGTTTTCACTTTCACGGGGCCTATCGATTTACGATTGGCACCAAGTATTTCACCGCGATCTGTCAAACTAAGGCGGCCTTGTGCTAGGGCAGGCTAACTTTTCTTCATTTTTGCATTACATTATTCATTATCTGAGCGCCCGAAAACAGAGCTGTCTTGTCGCACGCACGACATTCAATGCAGAGTTGAGATTGCCATGTACTGCACCATGGATCTGTTCTATTACCCCGTGGACACCAGTCTCTGCGACTTGTCAATCATCAATGGTAAATATGTGTTCAGTTGACTATAACATAATAGGGTCCTTCGTTTTTGGGTGAAACCCGATATTTCCTGATATCCCCCAACACGTTTCTTAAAAATCGGGTTTAGGCCGATTTATCTCCGAAATTAAAAACTGAATTTCCTTATTTTCCAAATTACTCTGTTCCAAAAATATTTTCCAGGAAGCAAAGGGTTGGTAGAGACATGCGCTAGCTCCAGGCATCGAAAACGAACCTAAATTCTGTTGACTTTAGTGAACAGCAGTGACATGAATAGAGGCCCAAAATGTCGCTTTTATATATATTGTGAAGTATCCTTTTCCCTTCTTTTATTTCCGTTTCAACCAGCGAAAAACAAAACAGAGTAACAAACTGCATTCAAAACTTGATTTTAGAAGAAACAGCAGATTTTTTTTTCTGTCGAACTGAATTGTGATACAATTGTGCATTGCAATAGTAGTACCCGTAAGCTGCCTTTGATGTTGAGAAAACGTTCTCTCAATAGAACGATCTCACTAAACGTTCGGCGTACGCGTGACGCCGCCATAACCTTAGTCAACGGGAAGCTGACGGCCGTGCTTCGGAGGGCCCGTGCCGTCTCGTGATTTACACACGCAGGGCTCCAGCGAGGTTGCCGCACTTGCAGAAAGACTAAAGTTTTCCCGGTGCGTTGCGGCAGCGGTGGCATAGTCGATCTGGCTAATGAGATTGCTCTATTCAGATATGTCCAATACCAGACAGGACTAGCATGGAAGCAGAAATTCAGCGAATACAGGAGATTATGCGAGCAACAAGGATTATGAAGAATCGAAAAGCTCAAGTGAGCTCTTATACTCCGTTCCAATGCTATCCTAATGACTTAATTGTGAGAGGAAAAAAAACCATTTCCTATATTCAAACAAATCAACGCGCTTTACTCTTTATTATACGTATATGTTTCTTAATATAACCTCGAAAACAAAAATTCCAAAATATTTTTTAACCTTATCTCTCCTTGATTACCAGCTTGGAACGAAGCGCCCGATTTTTACCCCCCGATTATTCAAAAAGATAAAACTCGAAATCGAAGGACTGTATAGACTATATAGTATAAAGAGAGTGCTGTGGTCTCACCAAATCCTAGGGCGGTTCGCTGATCAGTGCGGGTTTTTCTCCCGACGTTTCGCTCACCCGCAAGAGGAATTTTGAGCTCACGTGACCGACTCCCTAGGTATTAAAAGCTGAAGGTTGGTTTGCACAATTGCCACTGCTATCGACCTAGTGTTCTGTGCAGCCTTGTGATCTCTTCCGACGAGGAAATACACACCAGACCGCTGGTGCCATCTATGAGATGGACCTGGAACTGCATTTCACTAGCGTGAAGTCTTTGCAGCATTTTCAAAATTAAACGTAGTACGTACCATCTATAGGAAATGGTCGTTTATAACATTGTCAACAGATTTTCAAGTCAATAGGCCCCTAGCTGAAGTTTTAAGCGTTTTGAGCTTCCCGCTCTTTGGCAGCGCATGATCAAACTGGCGTACATTTTTCTGGGAATGTGCCTCGATGACCCCGAGCACTTTTGACAGTGGAAAGCGACGACAACGAGTTTGTTCTTCGCTGGATCGGCGACGACCGAAGTCCATTCCGTGCCTCGAAGAAGAGCATGGATTTCGACCCCAAGCGGGGAACGACGTCCGACAGCTTCGTCTTCTTCCCCGCTCTGCCCTTGTTCCTCGTCGACGATCTTGCTGATGGTAAGTAAGGCCAGCGGAGAAGCAGCCGCTCCCGACAAACTACATTTCAAGACAGGAACACGAGTCATTTTGTAACGAGGTAGGCTTATCTGCGTGCACTTTCGTGTTTGGGTATGCGAAGCTTTCTATTAACACCCTCGTGGGTGTTATTAGAGAGCTTTTTATGCGGCAACCTCGGATCCACACTGTTCGAAGATGCCACAATGATTGTTGGGTCGGTGACGTCATTCGCCCACCGCAATTGCAGATTTGGCCGCTTCTCGGCGTCTCGCGCGTCATGCTTCCAGGTTTACCTTCCGCGTTTCGAGCACGCGGTTTCGAGACGATGACGGCGTCGCTCGCTTCGTCGGAGTCTTCGAGACTGATCGCAGCAGCAAAGAGAGTGATTGTTATCGAAAGATGTTGGGAGCTGGGGTCGTTTTGATTCGAACCCGCTCGCGACCAAATCCAGCGACGACGACGAGATCGTCACGGACGAACTCTCCGTCGTCCGCGACGCTCTTGCACGGGTGTGCAGCGTGTGTGTGTGTGTGTGGGGGGGGGGGGGGGGGGGGGGGGGGGGGGAGGGGAGGGGAGGGGGGGAATGGCAAGGAGGCGAGGAGAGTATCCGGAACGCAAGTTCGTCTGCTTCTTGCATACAAGTTGCAATGATGTCAGAACGCCGGGCTCATGTTGGTTGATCGAATAAAATAGTGGGTAGACTTCAAGGCATCTAGCATTGAGGTCTACCCACTATCCTGTCAATCAAAACCAGTCAGAGCTCGGCGTCGTTTTGACGTCACCACCACGCCTGCGCAAAAAGCAGACGGCTTGCTCTCCGCATGAGGCGAGCTTGACCGAGCATGGAGGCGCCTAGATGAGAGTGTTCAACTAAATATGATGATCGCGTGGTTTATGGGCACCATGGTGCGACTAATTTGAGCAGTGTTGCCAGGTCGCCAGACGAGAATGGTCCACATCGGTAAATGTATTATTGCAATTACTAGAGCTCTAAAAATCGCGAAACATGGTGTATGTACTAAGTAGCCTCTGAGCATTCCAAATCAAGAATGATCCACCCATTTAAAAAAAACAATATCGGCGATTGTGTATGTCGTGTGTCACTCTCTAACTGCACCTGTACGAAATAATTTCTTCACTGTGGCCCTACCTTAAGCGTATCCCAACTAACCTCGAGTCGTTCCTTTGTTCACGTAAGGTAAACGTCGCACTCGGCTAGTCGCAAGGTTTGCGTTCCAACGTAAGCTCCTGGGAATCATGATGGATCCCCTGGTACCAAGCGTCTTCCCAGTCGTCCTATCCTGGACGGGCTTCTGGTTGGGTCCACACGCCGCGAAGACTCGGGCCATCTTGGTGTCTCTCTGCATGGTGCTACAGACGTTTCAGCAGTCTGGCTTCGTGGCCCCGAGACACCACAATCGCCACATCCAGACCGTCGACGTCTGGTTCGTCGCCTGCCACGTCTTCATCATAGCCAGCTTGCTGGAGTTGGTGCTCGTCAGCAACGCGGTAAGTGCGAGTCTTTCTGGGGCGATCCGCCGCGTTGGGGCGCGGTAGCGTTCGAGCGAAGCAAAGCAAAACCTCCGGTGTCACAGCAACAGATACTGCAAAGCTCGTCTTGCAGCATCTGTTGCTCAGGGTTGCTGACGTCGTTCAAACATTATCCTATCTTCTCATCGGCCGTTTATATTTTATTTTTTTTTATTTTCATTATTTAGCCAAATACTTTACAGAGAGAATGCCGCCTCACTCCGCAAAAATACAATGGACGTTTAGCGGTAAGGCTTTTGCCCCTTTTGCCTATTTCGAACGGCTGGACGCGCCGCAGTCTCGAGGCTTTCCCAGTGAATTGGGAAAGGTAGTTGGCGCCATCTGTCGTCAGGACTTCTCTAGTTAGCGCTCGTTAAGAAAAGCCGTCTCGGCTGCCTGGGCGAACCCGGGGTCTCGGTGCACCGGCAGTAACCGCTCTCCCTCGGAGCGCAATGCGCATGCGCTCTCTCAGACGCAAAACGCCCACATCACTAGCGGAAGAACTGACGCTGTAGGTGCGCGCTGTCTAGCGTTAATGAGCCGGGTGGTCCGCGCGCAGCCGACGGTAAGTTCCAATCAAGTAGCGCCAAAAATGCATCGTCACAGCACCGGACGTCTTGGTGTTATCGGATAGCAGGGATAGGTTACAGAAGCTGATCAAAATCTGTGGAGAGGAAGGAGACTCCCTGGCCCCAAATTCAGTAGCGACAAGTCGGGAATAACCGTTTATAACGATGGGAAGGGGGACCCGCTCAAAATTCCACATGTTTCAATGGAGCTCGCGGAGAAGCATAAATATCTCGAAGATGGGTGAACGAGGGAAACAAAAATGAAAGCCGTTTACAACTCCCTGTAACACCGAATTGGAGCGCAGCTCTTGAGGAGGAGGGAAGGGTACTGAGGGTTACCTGTTCTCGGGGCGGGGGGGGTCATGTGACCTTGGGGTCACGACCTAGATTTAGCGGGGCATTTTTCCCGCAATATTTAGCGGAGAATTTTTTCCGCTAAATCTAGCGGGAAAAATTTTTCTGCTAGATTTAGCGGGGGAAATTTTCCGCTAAATCTAGCGGGGAAATTTTTCCGCTAGATTTAGCGGGGAAAATTTTCTGCTAGATTTAGCGGGGAAGTTTTTCCGCTAGATTTAGCGGGGAATATTTTCCGCTAGATTTAGCGGGGAATTTTTCCCCGCTAGATTTTTCCGCTAGATTTAGCGGAGAAATTTTTCCGCTAGATTTAGCGGGGAAATTTTTCCGCTACATTTAGTGGGGAATTTTTCCCGCTAGATTTAGCGGGGAGATTTTTCCGCTAGATTTAGCGGGGAAATTTTTCCGCTAGATTTAGTGGGGAATTTTTTCCGCTAAATCAAGCGGGGAAACTTTACGCTAGATTTACCGGGGAAATTTTCCCGCTAATCTCAAGCGGGGAAATTTTTCCGCTACATTTAGCGGGGAAATTTTTCCGCTGGATTTAGCGGGGAAATTTTTCTGCTAGACTTAGCGGGGAATTTTTCCCGCTAGATTTTTCCGCTAGATTTAGCGGAGAAATTTTTCCGCTAGATTTAGCGGGGAAATTTTTCCGCTACATTTAGTGGGGAATTTTTTCCGCTAGATTTAGCGGGGAGATTTTTCCGCTAGATTTAGCGGGGAAATTTTTCCGCTAGATTTAGCGGGGAATTTTTTCCGCTAAATCTAGCGGGGAAACTTTTTACGCTAGATTTAGCGGGGAAATTTTCCCTCTAAATCAAGCGGGGAAATTTTTCCGCTACATTTAGCAGGGAAATTTTTCCGCTGGATTTAGCGGGGAAATTTTTCCGCTAGATTTAGCGGGGAATTTTTCCCGCTAGATTTTTCCGCTAGATTTAGCGGAGAAATGTTTCCGCTAGATTTAGCCGGGAAGTTTTTCCGCTACATTTAGCGGGGAATATTTTCTGCTAAATATAGCGGGAAAAAATTTCCGCTAGATTTAGCGGGGAAATGTTTCCGCTAAATCTAGCAGTGAAAATTTTCCACGATTTAGCGGGGAAATTTTTCCGCTAGATTTAGCGGGGAAATTTTTCCGCTAGATTTAGCGGGGAAATTTTTCTGCTAGATTTAGCGGGGAATATTTTCCGCTAGATTTAGCGGGGAATTTTTCCCCGCTAAATCTAGCGGGGAAAATTTTTCTGCTAGATTTAGCGGGAAAATTTTTCCGCTAAATCTAGCGGGGAAATTTTTCCACTAGATTTAGCGGGGAATATTTTCCGCTAAATTTAGCGGGGAAACTTTTCCGCTAGAATTAGCGGGGAATTTTTCCCGCTAGATTTTTCCGCTAGATTTAGCGGAGAAATTTTTCCACGATTTAGCGGGGAAATTTTTCCGCTACATTTAGCGGGGAATTTTTCCCGCTAGATTTAGCTGGGAGATTTTTCCGCTAGATTTAGCGGGGAAATTTTTCCGCTAGATTTAGCGGGGAATTTTTTCCGCTAAATCTAGCGGGGAAAATTTTTACGCTACATTTAGCGGGGAAATTTTCCCGCTAAATCCAGCGGGGACATTTTTCCGCTAGATATAGCGGGGAAATTTTTCCGCTGGATTTAGCGGGGAAATTTTTCCGCTAAATTTAGCGGGGAATTTTTCCCGCTAGATGTTTCCGCTAGATTTAGCGGAGAAATTTTTCCGCTAGATTTAGCCGGGAAATTTTTCCGCTACATTTAGCGGGAAATTTTTTCCGCTAAATCTAGCGGAAAAGTTTTTCCGCTAGATTTAGCGGGGAAATTTTTCCGCTAAATCTAGCGGTGAAATTTTTGCACTAGATTTAGCGGGGAAATTTTTCCGCTAGATTTAGCGGGGAAATTTTTCCACGATTTAGCGGGGAAATTTTTCCGCTAGATTTAGCGGGGAAATTTTTCCGCTAGATTTAGCGGGGAAATTTTTCCGCTAGATTTAGCGGGGAATTTTTCCCGCTAGATTTTTCCGCTAGATTTATCGGAGAAATTTTTCCGCTAGATTTAGCGGGGAAATTTTCCCGCTACATTTAGCGGGGCATTGTTTCCGCTAAATCTAGCGGGGAAAATTTTTACGCTAGATTTAGCGGGGAAATTTACCCATAATGCACCGCGCGGTTACGCCGACGGCGACGGCGACGCCGCTCAAGCCGGAAACGGGCCCCTAAGAGCTGTGCTCTAAAAAGAGAAAGCCGTTTACAAATCCCTGTAACGCCGAATTGGAGCGCAGCTCTTGAGGAGGAGTGAAAGGTACTGAGGGGAGGGTAGACCCCTCCTCCTTCTCCTCCCCTTATTCTTTAATATGCTCCGGGGGGTCACGTGACCTCGGGAAGGGGGAGTCACGTGACTTCGGGGAGGGAGGGTCACGCGACCTCGGGGAGGCGTGATCTAGGGGTCACGTGACCTTGGGGGTCACGTGACCTCGGGGGGTCACGTGACCTGGGGTGGCCTTGGGGGTCACGTGGAGGTCACCTTGGGGGTCACGTGACCTTGAGGTGACCTTAGGAGGGGTCACGTGACCTCGGGGAGTCACGTGGCCTGGAGGGGCCACGTGACTTGGAGGGGTCATGTGGCCCCTCCAAGTCACGTGACCTTGGGGTGACCTTGGGGAGGGGGTCACGTGACCTTGGGGTGACGTGACCTTCAGGAGGTCACGTGGGGTCACCTTGGGGGTCACGTGACCTTGAGGTGACCTTAGGAGGGGTCACGTGACATCGGGGGTCACGTGACCTTGGGGTGACCTTGGGGGTCCCGTGGCCTTGAGATGACCTTGGTTGCGCCGACGCCGCTCAAGCCGGAAACGGGCCCCTAAGAGCTACGCTCTAATACATAGAAGAACAGGATGAAAATGTGCTAAAGGAAAAATGAATGCAGCAATCATGCAGCATATGGGCACAATGGAATTACAATAGGTACTAAGTTGTTAGGGGAATATGGAAAGGAGTCACGGTGCCGCAGGTTTGTCGTTTGGCATCGCGGTATTATGCCCGAAATCCGAGGTCCGGTAGAGCTTAGAGACCCGGCAGTGGAGCGTGGGCAGACTGGCACTGTGAGCGCACGGGAATACACCGAATGAAGGAGTGCAGGGAGAAGGGGGCTGGGCATCGTTCAAGATTAGAGAGGCAATCACTAAGTTGAAATTGGAAGAAAGGCTGGACAAAATGGAGGATACACGATGGGCGAGAAAGGTATATATAAGCATCAATATATATGAAAAGTCTGAACACTAAATAAACAAACCGAACCCGACAACTGAAATTCAAATACCAACAGTCAAGTGCTGAGGCAGAGCAGACAACCTCTGTAAAGGATTAAGTAAAAGAAGTCGAGAGAAAAATGTGTTAGGAAAGAATGCAGGGAAAATCAACTTTAACTTAGTGTAGGGAACGGAAAGAAGCAATAAGAAAGTAACATTGGTACGAGAAATCACGGGGAAGCTCTGTTATTCGAGGCTAGAACAGGAGTATCGAGGATTAGGACATGCAAGAAAAGGTATGGGGGAATGGATACGCGGTGTGCCGGATGCCAAGTAAAAGTCGAGACAATAAAACATGTGGTGTTGAGGTGCGCAGGGCTTGTTCCCACCCTTCCTGAGGGGGCGACGGATTCAGCCGGAGCGCTGGGGTTGGCAGACAAGAAAGCCGAATCTCTAAGTGCATTTTAAGAACAAAGAGGAGATTAGAAGACTGGTGGAAACTATCCAGGGAAAATCGAATGACGTACAACTAACACAGCGGAAGACAGGCGGGACAGAGGGGAATTGGGACTCCCTCCCGCGTGGCTCCGGCCCAAGTGCAGTAAAGTGTTCGGTTTTTAGAGAATTAACGTTGATCAAAGCGCCTCATCAGGACAAAATCAGAAATTATGAAGAGTTTTAGTAGATCGTTCCGGTGACTCCGACAACATACCCATATTCCGCCTCAGGCACGTAGCCAAGATTTTGTTGCAAAGGCGGGGGGGGGGGGGGGGGGGGGAAATGGGATGGGGGTTGCCCATGACAAAATGCTGTATGAGGGGGAGGGAGGGGGGAGGAGGCCCCAGCAAGGTTAAAGATTTCAGGGGGGGAGGGGGGGGAGGGGGGGGGAGGGCCCCATGCCCACCCCCCTCACTACGTGCCTGTTCCGTCTCCATCTTTGCGCATGTATCGTATCGTTATCGGGTATTTGAAAGCGATAGCATTAATGGGTACCTGAATCAGTTTTGTATTTGATGAAGCGCACTTAAATTGTGTTTATTTGACCTCCAAGACCACGAATATCGAAATTATGTTTTTAATAGAAAATCATTTCCAAAAGTACCGCTGAAGGCCCTGCTTCCCGGACCGCGACATCACGAAATTTGTTTTCGGAATCTCCACTCTCGCGTATCTTCAGCGCCTCTAAAAGCTATGCACGCGCACTCTTGCTATTTCTAAAAAGGGCAGAAAGGACATCACGACTGTTGCCAGAGCGCGAGAATAAACCTGCAAGCTTGCACTTGCACGCGCGGCCCTCGAGCGACACGCGCTTGGCGGCCGAAAGATCGTCTTACTACAGTGTACTGGAATACAAGTATTCTAGTACACTGTAGTCTTACGACGTCACGACTGGTCGGAGGTTTTTCGTGTTTTCTCGCGTTCACTTACATCTTCGGGAAAAAGGAACGTGGTATTCAGATCCACAGGATAAAACTACGCTAAAATCAACCTCTAATTTTTTTTTTTTTTTTTTTTTTATGTTACAGAAGTGTTTCAGCTTGCCTTCAAGGACCTTGCGTCGTAGAAAAGTCGGCGCCGGAGTCGGTGGCGTGGGGCGGGAAAATTCTGATTGGTCAATAGGGTGATGACGTCACAGCCACATGACATCGCGCGAAAATTTCAAACCAACAGCACTCACTTGGAACGTGACGTCACGCTTAGAATTGAAAGCGATTAAAACATGACATGTAATGCGAACTAAAGGTCGAACATGATTGTAAACCTGAGACTGGGGCAGAAAGAGAACACAACAGAAGGTAGTAAAAGAGGAGGCAACGTCTCAACGTCTAGACGTTGCCTCCTCTTTTACTACCTTCTGTTGTGTTCTCTTTCTGCTCCAGTCTCAGGTTTACAATCATGTTAAACTTACACCAGCTCGCCTGCACTCTATTTTTTCGTTTAACTAAAGGTCGCCGCACGTCTCAAATTATTTCACTTTATAAAGTAATTAATTTACCTTACAGAACATACGCAAAGAAAAATTTTTTTGAACAGTTTAGATGGAAAAGGATGTCATAAAATAAAATTACAACGAAGAAAAAAAGCTTTAGAACTACATTTACGGCGCGAAACGAATTCGTAGTTGGCGCCCGCTGGAGCCCGCGGAAAGTTGGCCGCTGTGGTCACGTGGTGCTTGCGCTCTTTCGGGAGCTTCCTATGGGCTCTAAAACTTACCTGTTAATCTTCGTTTGAGGTGCAACAGGAAAACCAAAATTAATAAGCAACTTTGAGAACCCAAAGAAGCTCCCGAAAGAGAGTAAGCACCAAGTGATAGACCTGTGCACCTGTCAGAAATTTACGGCGCACAGGGCGGCCGCGTGGAGAAACGCGTTCAATAGGTGGCGCGCCACAGGGACTTCAGCGATGGCGCTCGCCGCTGAACCGCTTCGGCGTACAATCTCTGCAGATACGCACCAACTGATTTCATCACGGTTTTAATAGATCGTTCCGATAACTGCAAAACTATTCCCGATACTCTGCCGGTGCCTTTTTGCGTGTATCGCATCGTTACCGGGTATCGCCATCGTATCTTTCGGAGCGATCAAGCAAAACAAAATGTTTCCTGCTTGTCGGCGCCCTGCTCGTTTTAGGTCCAGTCTCGCAAGTCGAACGCAGCGGATTCGAGGGAGGACCTCCACCTGGAGGTCGCGGCGGCCGACGCCAACCTCATGGGGAAGGTTGGCCTGAACTTCAGGCGAGTGCAACTGTCCCCCGAGGAAATGGACGATTCCTGCAAGACCCTGTTCCCGGCGTCCTTCGTGCTGGTCGCCTTCATGCACGGCAGCGCGTTCGGGTGGCCCCTTCTGCAGAACACCGATCCGGCGTCGCTGAGTGCACTGCCCATCCGCTTGGCTCTATGAAAGACCGCTTGGACTCGGGCCGAAGTGCTATTTTAACGGATGGGTTGGGAAAAGGCTTGGCCCCTATAATTCGGGCTAACCGTCCGCGACGTTTGGTATTAATCTAATTCCTAATCTCGTTTTTTGTAAGTGCGACAAAGTTGACATTGATGTGGACAAACTATGGCGTTCAGACTCCAGCGAATGTTACCTATGATTGAGTATAAAAATAAAAAGAAAAACGCCGACTGTTTAGAGCTCCTCGACGCTTGTTTCTATGCGCCGACAAACTCAGGGAGAGGAGGACACGAGAGGGGACGTCAGAACGCCGAGCTCTGATTGGACGGTTTAGGGGGTAGGCCTAAAGCTGTCTTTGCCTCCACTGCACTTTCGACGACTTTCATACGGCACAAAACTTGAAAGTATAAAACAGCGAGGACGGGAACAGGACATCTTTCATACGGACCAGAGTGGAAGAGTTCAGATGAAGCGTCTCTCCCCCCCGGAGCTTATGGTTTCTCTAGCACGTCAATAGACTCAAGAGGGGGCTCATCTCAAACCATGGGGAGCGTTTGCAATTCAATGGCGGACGCCTCCTGCGGAGATTGGTCGCAAGTACGCATGCTCTGTGTTTTGCGCGTGGCGAGGGAAAAAGCGGGCGGAGACGTTCGCAGACGGTCAACGCTGTCTTCACCTTTTTGCAGCTCCTATCGCAAATGCGGCCCAACACCACGTGACTCCGATCGCGCAGTAGGATGTGTTATGTAATACAGGCTAGTATGCCTGTATGTGATACAGGCATTAGGATGTGTTATATGTGATACAGGAAGTAGGATGTGTTATATGTAATACAGGCTAGTATGTCTTATGTGATACAGGCAGTAGGATGTGTTGTGCAATACAGGCTAGTATGCCTGTATGTGATACGGCCAGTAGAATATGTTATGTAATAGAGGCTAGTATGCCGGTATGTGATACAGTCAGTAGGATGTGTTATGTAATACAGTCAATACCATTCCTGTAAAATGACGGAAAAAAAAACAGCACATTCACTCAAACATTTAACTGATCAAAATAAGCCCACCCGAGAGTATATGAACGCGCCAAACCCAAGATGTGACTACCATAAACCAGGAGAACACCCCACAGCCTCGCGAAAACCTGAGTATGCGCTTTAAAAGCGACAATGCGAATTTTTCTGCAGCGTTAGCAGCGCTGGAGCAATCAGCAGAGGTGGCCTTACAATTGATCGAATTAACTCGGCCACCGTATAATGCGTCGGTTCGACCTATTTTCCCAACCAAAGCAGGTCGATTTAGAACAGTAAAGATATCATATCCCGGGCCCATCAAGCTAACCCGGTTACTTCTCCGCGTCGGCCGCTTCTCCTAGCACACTGGTGCAAAGCGGTGGAGCTCCACGCGCGGGCACTGCTGTATAAAGCATTGAGGAAATGGCCGTGTTTCTAAGTTTACTCGATCTTACTCTAGGGCAAGGGAGTACCTTGGCGCAGCGCCTCGTCGCTGCCGCGAGACGCTGTGGCGAGACGCGAGAACCCGAAAGTGTGTTTCGGGTCCTCGCCGCTGCAAAAGCTGTGCGCTGACGTCCAGGTTCCCCGAGAAATGGCTCTTTGATGCCCTGTGCTACTGGATCCTCGAGCTCCAAATCTGCGACCGGGCACTCTATGGCTCCGTCGTCAAACTGCCAGGCTTCGTGAGCGTAGAGGAGGCTATGGCAGTGAACATGACGCGCGCGAACAGCGGAAAAGCTTCGAGACAAAAACGCGCGTGCACCGGTGCAAAGCAGAGAAAGAGGACGCGCACAAGCCGGTGCAAAGTGAAACCTGATGTCCGCGCGCCGGGGCAAAGCCGAAAGAACATGACGCGGGCGCAAAGGAGTGATGCAGTGAAGATTGACGCAGCGCCAGTGTTCACGAAAACGAAACGTCCTAAAAGGCCGCGAGTGCAGGCTTCACGTGACCATTCGGTTTAGTGTCAAGGCGAAGCCAAACAACCGCAGTTTCGTTTTCGGTTACAGTTGCGCACATACCTTACGACCACACACTCCTGTTACATCTTTTTTTTTTTTTGTTTTTACATACTTTTATTTTGGCGTAGTTCGCAGAACTTGGATTGTGGCGCGATACGATGGCAGACTTTTGTCTATGGCATGAATGGTATGGCACTTTCATCGCTGAAGAGAGAAAAGATTGAAGGATCGGCAAGAAACCTTAAAGGGGCCCTGCAAGGACTTTTTACTGTTTTTTTTAATTTGCACCGAACCTGAGCGCACTGAAGGTAGTAACTTAGTGAAACTTTTCTTTTCGCGAAACTCAATTTATTTTAAAAGTTATAGGCAATTTAGAATTACAAAAACAAGCAAAAAATAACCTCCTTCATGGCGTCGTAGGTGGCTTGAGTGGCCGTGAACTGAATAGTGAGCTCATCGAGCGCTCACGGCCGCCGCACTCCGTGTCGACGGCGCGAGAGGGCGCCACTAAAGCATGTTCTGGATAGGCTGTATGCAGCGGGATTTGCTGCGTGATTAAACACTAATTCGGCATGACACTTCATTGGCCACGAACGACAGCAAACACGGGGTAAAGATCAGTTCAGAATGGAAGCCACTTCGCGCTGCCATACCGCGAAACGGCCAAACCGCAAGACAAAGCCTCTGGCCGAAGGCCTTCGGAACGCTCGGAGCCGGTCGGATCCTCGTGTCCATACGACTGCAGCGCCACCGCGTACATCCAAGATTTTTCCGTGTCTTCGTTCTTCGCCTTATCCCACTACTCTTTTCTAGTATGCGCCGGCTTTTCCACCGCTTGGCGGCGGGTATGTCGACGGGTCATTTCTTGTTTCCGTACTTTATGAACTGCATTTTTTTTTTCTTTTTTTCATCAATAATAGTGAACAAAAACTACTTTTATAAATAATTGAAACGGTTCGCGGCCACTTATATTTCGTATTTCGACCAAAAAGAAGTTTTTAGCGGCTCTGACCAGTAGTAAGCCAAAGACGTCACATTTTGCGCGCTTTCGGTACCGCGGGTCGCCCTCGTCGGTGGAGGAGGTTTCCGTGGCGTCCGGTTAAAATATGGCGCACTGATATTTAGCTACTCTTTCCGTGCCCGCTGGCTTGCCCGAACCCCAAGAGACGTGGAAACCGCATAAAAGGTAGACGCTTAAATATGATTGCAGGGCCCCTTTAAAGGGGTACTCCGCCGATTACTTCATGGTCCCCGATTTGCTTGAAATTTTTCTGAACTCGCCAAACATCGCCAAAATAGTATCCCAAATATTAGGTAAAAAAAAAATTTTTTTTCACGAAGTTATTGAATTTACAATTTTGGTCCTCACCGTGTTTTTCAAACTGAAAGTCTCTACTGGCAACAACGAAAACGTGACGTCAGTAGAAGTGCAGGGGTTCACTCTTTGGACTGTAGAATTTGTTCCCAACTGATTTGAAGCAGTTTCATGGTGTAAAATGAATGCTTTGCAAGCTCGCTCCAGTCACCGCGCTCCAGCACGGAACAAACGATTGGCATATTCTATTTTTTAGACTGCTCGCCCGACTGGCAAGCTTGCCTTCCACTGACGTCACGGCACTGAAAAGTGTGGGTATATTTGAATGTTGGTTTTTGCATCATTTTCATTTGCCGATTTCGCAATAACTATTATGAATTTCGCGATACTAAATAGCATACCAGAAAGGGTAAAGGCCGGGGAGTCAGAAAATATAGTCAGTTGAGGTAGCTCAAAAATCGCCGGAGTACCCCTTTAATCTCCATCTCAACAGTCATTGATTTATGCGCGCCCCATCCGAGAATTTTGTATGCAAAGTATGCAACCTTACGGTGTTCACATCACCCCAGAACGTTCCCTTCTAGAAATCTGCATTAAGGCTGGTTTACACTGGCGGATGTGCCAGTGTGAGTGTATGCGTTGAGACGGCTTGTGACCGCTTACAACTAAAGAACCCACTGCGCCATCTATACGTAGTCCTGGAACTGCATACGACTTGACTGAAGGTTTCGATGAATGTGCGAGGTGAAATCTACACATATCTATGAGAAACGGTCGTTTATAAGTTATAAAATTGCCCGAGCTATTTCAAGCTTCCTGTAAATGAAAGCTGCGCACCGATTTAGAAATAATATGTGGGTCGGAAGTGTTCCAGGGCCCCTCGATATATCGTGGTCTCTCGCCTACAGGCGTGGACACGGCAGATATGGGACCATGCGACTAAAAGGGGATAGTCACAGGGAGCATCATCATAGTTGTCATAAACAGTCGTAAGCAGCTGCAATTCACTTGACAACACTCAAGCGCAAATGTGTGAACCAGCATGCAGAATCTTAGATAAACCCACTGGACAGAGCACTTCTCAATGACAAGTTTTAATGCTCGGCTTCTGTAGCTTTCACGCTGTCCAACCAGATGTCGATAGTGCTGTCTGTGCAGGACCCTACCACCTTTAGGCACGTTCCGGGTTGAACCGAGTGCGGATCGCGGAGTAGAACAGCGGCCTGTGACGTCGTGCCCTCCTTACAGTAGCTGCTGATGACGTGGCCTCCCTGGCACTCAGCGTCGAACCAGTAACAGAAACCCGATGCCCGCCCCGACTGCGTGACTGGAACCGCACGAACGGCGGAGATGACTGGGAGGTCCAGCCCGACGTCGCTTAAGTTTATTTCGAAGAGGGTGAAGACGTCCGTCAGCTGGCGATGGGGAAGGCTGGACAGGTTGACGTCCTGCTGTGTCCGAACCTGGTGCGGCAAGATTGAGGATGCCGTAGGAATCATGGCACAAGACCAGTTGAAACTGAAGTTTCAATCATACTGCAGTGTAAATGCCTTACTTACTGCCCTAGTATACCACTAGAGTGAGCAACAGAAACAGACGACACCAAGCAACCTCAAGCACATGCAGCAAGCACACGAAGGTCTCTTTGGTAAAGTTGCAATCACTCGTGCTTATGCTTCATGAGCGCCAAGAGATTGCAAGCGTGTCACCTCTGGGGACATTGTTTCACCTTTTGTACCTCTGGACATTTCAAGGAGAGTTGCTTCTTGCCTTGAAAATAAATATAAATAATTTATTGATTAAATTATTTACGATGGCCTTACCACAAAGAGAAAAAATCTCGAAAGTCAGGATTCAAAGTGCCACCACTTTGTAACTTGCACCACCATAATATTTGATAAAACAACCGTTCTAAGACAGTCCTAAAAAAATCTGTCAAGAACGAGCACCCTGCAGGTTTACTCAGAAACAATCAAAACCTTGGAAGAGCGCTTTAGCCAATGCAACATGAACTTGCCTCCTCTAGCAAAGCTTCCTCAGAATATTTCAGCTCTCATCCTGTTTTTCTTGGTCACTTTCATAAGAGTACATTATGGAGAGAGTTTTCTGCGATTTTATATATACAACTTAACATCTACCACAGAGTGTTCTGGACCAGGCACAGGTCACTTTGGCAAGGCTGTTCTTTTGTATCCTTCTAAATGCCCACGTGCCCATGCCACATCTTATACTTTGTTTCAGCTTAAAGGCTGGTTCACACATCTGCATTTCAGTGTGATCAAATGTGCTGCGCTCGCTTGTAACCACTTACGATGAGAGAAGATGCCGGCACACCGCCGCCATCTATCAGGCAGCTCTGGAACTCTTCCAGAGCTGCCTGAGGTTTTGCAGTATTTGCAAGATGAAATCTAGTATGCGTCATCTACGAGAAATTATCATTTATAACATTGTAAAAACGTTTTTTGCCCAAGCTGAAAGAAAGACGCACAACAAATTAGGAAATACACATACAGGCCAGAAATATGCATGCGTGCCGATGAATGGTGCCAGTGTGGCAGTGTTTTCTCGCCGCAAGTGGTCAGAAGTGAGCACAATGCACTCGACCACACCCAAACACCAAAGTGCGATCCAGCCTCTACAACCACCACAGAGAAGGCTTCAGCGAGAGACATAATAGGTGGTGTACCATTTGCAGAAATTGTCTTCCTTGATAATGACAGCAGTTACTTCATTATAAAGCAAGAAACAAACGCTCCTAGGATGCACATCGGCTGCACAAACCCTTGTGCAGCAGGAGAGAAACCGCGAAAGCTGCGTGCTTATAGAAATGTTTGCTTGCCTCAAACACGTTGATGCTGTCTGCAACGGCGTAGCTCAAGGTTCGGTCATTGGAAACCAGGCGGGACTGCTCTTCCAGAGTCTGACTCTCAACAAGCACGGCACGAACCATGATGGTGCACGGGACAATGATGGCGGTTGGTGTCAAGCAACTTTTTCTGCATTGGAAAGGATAAAAACAACGAAAGGTAGAGTTGACCCAGGCCCCAACACTCCACCACGACCCTCTCATCTTAAGCAACTAACCACAAAAAGATACCTTCAACACTGCCGTGTATCCTACCCAAACCAAAGTCTGCAAACAACCCAATTGGAACCTCCACGCGTTTTGTTGTAAACAAACTTTGTGACAGCAGCATTGTCTGCTTGTCATAGCAAGGAATGGCTTGCACTTTTTGTGGATGTCGCAAATCTACTGGTTCCTCATGAGCGAAGACTTTTTTTGTTTGACCTGAAAAAATTTACCCTGAGGGCCCAAGTACGAGCCCTTTGCAACTTTGGATAGGTTGTTAGCCCCTTAAAGAGAATGTCGTATGCTAGCACGAAACTTGGTCACACTTGTCAATCCCTCCCCGTTTTTAGTGCCTTCTCTCTCATACGCGGAGAGATGCACTGTTGTAAACTTGCTCGCCGTGCAATACAGAGAACTTTACTTCTAGGCACCCAGCAGCATACAGCACCGACACATACCTCAAAAGAGCCACGTCTTCGAGAACTCCGTGCCGAAGTAGGCCACAAGACTCGAACGCATCGATGATGAGGACGTCATACTTCCCGCCCTCCTCTTTACACAAGGTGTCCAACTCCGTCGCCGTACTGACAGAGCCTTCAAGTTCATGAGCCTTGACGAACGCTGACACAAACGCCTTAGAATCCTGGTTGGGCATCCAGGTCAGCATTCTGGAGGCAGCCGCTCGGACGAGCATCAAGCCCAGGACAGGGACTTGCGAGAGGTCCAGGACGTTGCAGGTCTGCGAGAGCCCCGAGGAGAGCATCTCTTCGGCGAGCATTGCTGAAGAGCGCAGCTGACCGTTCAGCGCGCGCACCGTGTCACTCGGAAGACGGACTGTCTGTGCCGGGGATAGGGTGAGGCCACTGGGCTGCTTGGTGGAGTAGCTTATGCTGAGGTGCCCCTTGCAAACCATATGGAGCTGAACTACATCACCTGCATCGACCTTGACACCAGGACCTGCAAATGGAAGCATGAAAATGTAAGGTATTTTGTAAGGCAGATGACAGGGTCAGCGTAAGGACCAGACACCTTGATTTAGAGGTTCAGTTCTGCATTCACATCATTTTGTCCCTATCAAGCGCCATTTCCCGTTTTTGTGGAAATGTGCACAGTTTCACAATCAGTGCTGAGGAAGTGGAAGAAAACCAAACAAATGTTCACTTGATACAAGCATAAGTTTATAAAAATAAACTTACAATGTATGAAAATGTTACCTACAATAAAATAGAAATTTGAGCTCTTTCTGTGGCTACACCTGCTAATACATTTTGTTTGCATAGATGTGTGTACAGGAAACTTTATCTGTATTACTGAATTCGGCACGCCTGATCAGGAGGCAACATTTCTTCCCCACTGTTAAAAAAAAAAACGGGGAAGAAAGGCACTTGCGTTATCAACTATCTGGCTCCGGGTAAAAAGTCGGTTGAAACTGAGGTCTATCGGCGGCGTCCTATTCGACTGTCATTCAGCTAATAATAATACAGTGTTTTAGTAGATCGTTCAGTCATTCCCGCTACGCTATCGGCAATCCGCTATACGTAGCTTAGCGGAACCGCCATTTCAAGTTTTAGTAGAATGCTCGCAACCCGCTAGAGATTACTGCGTTACAAGAGCCAATGTAACGCCACTAGCGGCTCCTTCAAATGCTAAGGCTTGCATAAAACAAAGGTTTGTGAAGCAATAGTGACGTTAATCATTCTTTATCGAATAAAGTGCTAATCCTTTCTTTGCTTAAAGGGCAACGCCGCTCAATTCTGAAAAAAATAGGCTTACATGTGATTCCATTTCACAAAGCACTACTAAACAGCTCTAAGTCTTCGGATTCGCGAAATGTGGAATATTATTCGTGTAATCTTAATTTAAACATCAGCTGATACCGAAACCGCAACTTCGGTTGCGTCGGGCAACATTGGTCACGTGTCCTCAGAGTCATGGCCACGTCACGTCGAACCACGTGGTCCTGTGACGTTCATGGGGAGGCGAGGGACAGGACACGCGACGCGGGCAGGTCGCTTCGCATGGCGTGGACGTTAGTGGCCCGGGGGAGAGGGGGAAAGGGAGAGGACGAAAGCGCAGAGGGGGAGCGGAAAAACAGACTGATAAGCGCGCAGGGAGCGTAAACTAGCGCATCCGCGTTACGGTGATCACGTGGACGCCGTTCAGCCAACACTGGAAGAAGGAACTCATGATGTCATCGTTCAATTTTGCTCTGAGAAGTAAAAACAAACAAAACGTGAGAATGACGTAGTCATGCCTCTGACGCAGTGGCCCACAGTGGCCGCTCCAACTCCGTCGCATTGACTGCACTGACGATTGCGCCTCACATCGCACGCTAGAGTTGGCAGACTTTGGCGACTTGGCTCACTTGAAGGTTTGCTGGCCAGTTTAATAAATATATAGACGGAATTAAATCGTAATATTTGACATGGGGTCTTCCTACATGATACTGAAGAGGGCTACATACTTTTCTAAATATAAAAAATGAAGCAGAGTTGCTCTTTAAGTAAATGATTATTATAATTGTAACTGAATACAACTGACAGCCAAGCTGTATGAGCCCATCTGATATTGGTCAAACGCCAAAGCCATTGAGCGAAGTCTTCAAAACTAAATGACAACAACCGTAGCTCCTATGCTCTCTCGTCGCGACTGTCTTTTCTTTTTCTCACTGTTCACCGAATAAGAAACGCCACGGAAATTCATCAGACTTTCCTGCTCGCTCGCTGCCTTGATCGGTTCTGTCCTCGCCACAAAAGCGGCCGAGAAGGAGGCTGCACCCTTCACTCACAGCACCACGGATTGTGAAGCTTTTTTTTTTTCCCCGTGGCCGTATTTAGCATGTCCGCCATAAATTGTTACCTGCTGAAATCCTGGAATTGGCTTTTGTTGCGGCTACTTCTCGCAGCAACAAGATACAATCCGCCTCTCAGAACCACGATCGCCAAGCGAACAGACCGGGCGTGGCATGGTGGCCATCTTGAATTGCCATCACTCGCTGGCTCTCTTTAATCTTGCCAAGACTCATTCTCGCGAGACCCACGCTAGGGCACCCCGGTACACGCGCTACATTTCTTGCAACTTTTGTAAAATAGTGCGTCTTTGCTAGCTTCGGCATGCGCAATAGTGTCATCGCTTTAGCATATAGCATAGCGGGGGTGCCAAAACTAGTATAGACTAAAACTTCCTAATAATAATATAATAAACTCTGAAACATCCAACAAATTCAGTTTCAGGATCTTTCTACCAGTTTAGACGGCCTGTCAGTAAAATTGTGCGGTTTCTGACACAATCGCCTATATATGCCAGCAATATGGCTCATTCTTTCACGTGTGATGTTCCTTATATCACAAACGTGTCCAAGATTAGAAGCTCGAAAGACTAACCAGCCTGTTGTAGGGTCGAAATCATGCCAATTTTCTTAGAGCCCGCTTGGGACGCTGTCCGCCCTCATCGAACTCTCTCGAACACAAAAAGCCTTAACCCATATGAAATTAAATATTGCTTTTTCAGAGATTGGTTTAGCGAATGCCAAAGCAAAAGATGTACCGGGTGTTATGTACCGGCGCCACCGGCAGGTGGACTAAGCAGCCGATGCCGCAAGCCTCGTGACAATCGCGTGCTAGTGAGAGCTCGGGCACTTTTTCGTGGACCGAGAACCGCAATGGACGCACCGTCCACACTCTAAAGCTGACAGTAAAGCTTGTATTTATCACCGGGGTAGATGGCCTGCTCCCAGCAGGTTTCGGTCGCAGGTCCAGTGTCCAGCCAGGTGTCTCCAACTTCGAGTCGAAACCACACGCAGACCGCGTCTAGTGTTCCCGACTGACTGCAGCACACTTCCTCCGTCCACTCCACTCCATCCACAAGTCGCTGGACGTCCTGAGATGAGTGCGTAAAGGAACAAATGAAGACTGAATTATAACATATCACTCGATGCAAGGCTACAAGCATCGATAAACGAGGACACAGGAACGCCTTGTCCCGTGTTGCCTCTCACTTTTGGTTCCTGTGTTATTTGGCACGAAACCTCAGTATGGGACATAAATTGTCCGAGTTTGAATAACTTGCTTTTTCTCGCGAACGAGATAATCTGCCTCTCAGGAAAGGCTGGTTCACACATGAAGTGCAGCGCTGAGACAATGCAGAGTAAGCACCGCATCAGTGCTACTCTCAGATCTGACTCAGTATTGAGTTAGCACTGCATTGCATGTGTACAGTTTCCGGACATATGAGCTACCACAGCAGAGCGCTGACAACGGCAGGAAAAATCCCGCATGGGGCACTTCGGGCATTGTCGTGCCCTAATAGTAGTGGTAATGGAACAGTCTCACTTTGTTATCGAAGTGTGGGCGCAGGAAAGTTATCTGCACTCCCCCTTTATAAAGTGAGCCTGCAGCATGGCCTATTAAGGTCCGTTCACACTCTTGCGACCTCTTAAAACTGGGTTTCTTGAAACCTCTTACAACGAGAGGACACAGTGGTGCCATCTATTGGGTAGCAGTGCAAACTTGGCAGTCCAGCATATTTTCTATTTATGAAGCGCATCATCCTTTCTTTTTTGACTCAGAAACCTTTTGTCAACGTTATAAACGAGCCTTTCTTACAGGTATTACGCACATTTGACCTTGGAAATACCGTAAAACCTTCGCTCTTGCGAAATGCAGTTCCAGGGTCATCACATAGATGGTGCCAGCGTGCCAGTGTGTTCTTTCGTCCCAAGAAATATTGAGAGGTTTTAACAAGTCTTGTCTCTCTCGGTCATACTCGGTTGCAAGAGTGTGAACGGGCCTTTAGCAACGATTTCCGGACTTCGGTTAAAAATTTGTGAAAGTTCTCCACCGACACTTCTGAAGTAGAGGTGCAACGATTTCCGGACTTCGGTCAAAAATTTGTGGAAGTTGTCCACCGACACTTCTGAAGTAGAGGACATAAAACCGATTTCGGCTGCGTGTCCAAGTTGTCATCTAAAAAAAAAATATATATATGCATTTCTGGCACCCCTCAACTCACTCCCAATCTTCAGGGTCACACCTGGTCGCCCTCCCAGTGACGTAATTCAGAGTCTCGTGTAGGTTCCCGTGTGTTCTCTCAGAAGATGCTTCCTCTCCCTCTCTCTGCATACATTAGCGGGCGTTATGCTGCAGCTTAGAGCCGAGCGAGGTCACATAAGCTTCTCACCGTAGTTCCTTCGGCTGTCACTCGCAGCTGCAGGTGAGGGAAAAAGCTCTACTTTTGCTTTGCGATTGTGCAGCGGAATCGCAACATTTTTCAGTGAAGGAGATATTTTCTCTATCCTTCGGGACATGATAAACAACGTAAAAATTACGATATGCAAATTCTTTTAATCTTAAAATCGTTGCACTCCCCCTTTAAGGTGTTTGTATAAAGTGTGGGCTAACTTAAAAACTGCTGACGAAAGATTTTTTTTGTTTGTTCAGGAAACTGAGTTTGGCACTTCCTTTCTAGAAAGGAAAAACAAGATACCGCCTACTCGAATGGTTTATAAAAAGAAAACAAATATAACAAGCAAACATGCGATTGTCATGGGCCTTGCTGCAAGGTCACGTTTCAAAATTGGAAAGGTGAATAAAAACTTTTGTCCACTCCCTTGATATCGGAATAAGTAGCTTCGAAAAGCTCGGCTCCCAAGGCACGGCAACGTTCGAAGCGCCCCATGCGGGAATTTTACGTCTCCAGTCAGTGCTCCACTGTGGTAGCTCATATGACCGTACAAGAGAAAAGGCAAGGTCACCAGACCATGTATATAGCACTGATCGACTGGTCTGATGTATGTGAACAAGCCTTGAACGGACAGACCACCAACTCAGCAGTTCCATGATCTGTTAATTAAGGGGGCACCAAAGTGGGAGTTTGTTTTTTCATGGCAATAGCTCAATCTGCACACCCTAGGAGTCCTGAGAAACCCAAGATTATAATCATCTGTCGCTTTTTTCCTATTCAAGGTGCGACCAAACAGTCTCACACCCCTTTTCTGGTCTGTATAAGGTGTTTTTTTTTTAGGCTTTACAGATTTGTTTTAAAAAAGCCGCCAAAGCTACACTAATGCAGTCTGTGAAGGGGGCTTATCATCACAATAAGTTGAATAACAAACTAAAATTTGTTACTTATCTTTTTAATTAGAACAAATAAACATATGGTTTCATTTTGAAGCTTGCTGAGCATCATTGAAAATCCTTAATTAAATCAATAAGTTTTAGGAAGACTTGGAGAACGCGGGAAGCGCAGTAGTGAACTGAAGTTGTCACTTGTACAACAGGTGCAAGGCTGGTGTTGCAAAAAGCCGCAAATGACAAGAGACGAAAAAACTGTGCGGGCATGTTTTCGCACCCTGGCCGTGCGCCAGTTGCACTAGAGGTAACTTTAGAGCACCGCCGCGCTTCCCAAGCGTTCAAAGTTTCGCTAAAACAAACTGATTTAGTGGTTTTCGATGACACTCATCAAGTTTTTAACTAAAACCATGTATTTATTTTCAATTATTAAAAAGCTAAATAACAAGTTTTAGTTAATTATCCGCTTATTGTAACAATTAGCCCCCCATATTACCTATGTCTTCCTGGTCATTTAACTAACCTGCCAAGACTGCATTGCCATAATATCCAGAGGATGCCCCATCCCAAAGATAACCCACCCCTATTTTTAGCTTGATTTGCTATTGTCTTTTAAACACTGAAAGATAGCCCACTCCTAGTAATCATATTGTTCGGATCAATGATAACCTCGGCGTAAATGCTCATAGGTAGCTATGGCGAGATATAAGCGAACATTGCTGACTGAGAAGTACAGTCAACTTTTCACTGTCCCTCGCAACGATAACAAGTTTGGCAGATAAACGTAATCTAAAAATAGTGTTTTGTTTTACTTTTCTTAATTTTACACTGAAAGTTAGCCCACTCCCTATCGTCACCAGATTTGCTCTAGATTTTAAATGGGCTATATCTCGGAATATTATAGTAGTGTAGCTTTCGCAGCTTTAAAAAAAAAATACCGCAAAGCCAAGAACAAAACAACTTGCATATTTCAGGAAAAGGGGCATGTCAGGATGTTTGTTGGTCCCTCACCTGTGCCTCGGTCAGAGACTTGAAACGTCAGACGTCCACAGGCTCATGCCATGCCATGTCACGCCACAAAGGGACACGTTTGTAAAGAAAGCAGTCTCGCATATAAGGTTTCTCAAATTGCCAACAGAGCAGTGCCATATAAGGTTTCTCAAGTCGCCAACAAGGCAATCCCCTATAAGGTTTCTCGAGTCGCCTTTGCAATGTTGGCGAGCAGTGTTGGTTGTCTGCCAATAATCACAGACAGTTCAGAAAACACAGGGCGTGATGATTCCTGAGCTTCCTAGGATTGATCCATAGCCAATGAGGTTGTGGCATAAGTCAATAAGCCAGACATGAATGCCAAAGAATGAATCATGAAGTAAGAATTGCGAACGTAAAAGTCATGCCCTGGATCTTTCAAGTTTTCAGTAACGATATTGTGGTCAAGCCTAGCTCACCTGACGGTCGTTGAAGTTGACAGAGATCAAGCTGAGAGGTTCCGAAAGACACCTGTATCCGTGCTTGATCCGACTCAGCCTCTCTGTGGTGTAAGGGTCTTCGTCACTCTCCTCCGAAACTAGGTCACATTCTTGCAGCTTGAGTGTGTCCTTGACTAGATGGTCGGACACTCTGAGATACAGAAGATTATTTCTTTCAGTTTCTTTGCAGGAGGATTCGTTGTAATCCAAGGATTGAAAATGTCACTATGTGCATGTACCTTCTTCCTAACCGAATCCATTCGCTTTCAATGAGGCAGGCAAACACTTCGGCCTTCCCTGGAATTACTTCCGGCTGGGCCCCCCTGTTCGATTGGTGAGACAAAAAGTAAAAAACATGCATGTTTTTCGCGTCTGTTCTCTGAAAGTCACAGAAAGTGTATGTAAAGGTATTTAGGGGAAGTGAAAAGAATTTCAGCAAAATTGTACCGTGCTTTATCGAGATTTATCTAAGGTGTGCAGGACCATGGACCCTGTTCAGTGCTGTGATTATCATCACAGAAGGACATGAATTATAAAAAAAACAAAAAGCATTTGTTGCAGCATAAGCACTGTTAGGTTTATGCAGCTGAACTTTGAAGTTTTTATTAAAAACCTTTTTTTTAGTTAATCCATTGTTTTCATGCCAGTGCTGGTTGTGCTTACTGTGGTTGTTGCTCTAGTAAGCAGTCCCAGGCATGTGCCAGGCTCTTCAGGACGTGCTCACCAAACAATCCGGAATCAAAGGTCTCTGTTATCACCAGGCTGACACTGGAAAGCAAAAAAAGAACTGAAAACATGTCACTACAAAAGAAAGAGGGTGACATAAACAGCTAACGATTTAAACAAGCATGAATTCAAATTTAGAATTTCAGTATGCATACAATCTACACACACCCCAAAATCACTAACGTAAAGCACACTCTCCCATACGTTTCGTGGTGGATAACTTGGACGCTACACGAATGCATGAGCAGCATTCAAGTTTGAGAGGTTTGTACAACGACAGCCATTATTGGCAATGTTTCACAGCAAATGCCAATTGTGTTTCATGCAGGGTCGTGGCTGGGAAACTTCTCCGCTAAATACAGTAGAACATTGTTGGTACGTTTTGAAGAAACCGCAAGGAAAAAAACACGTACCGTATTACCCGGGCAAACGTATGATCCAAACTTACCATGTTTAAGCACACACACACACATATACAAGAAACCAGCAATAGTTCAAAACAAACAGTTCTGCGATGGCGTCCGGATGCCATCGCAGAACGAAACGAGCCTAGATGGCAGAGGAAAAATGGCAAAATAGGATGGCACGGTCTGAACCCACACATTTAAAGCAACTGGAGCTGAACCAAAGCAAAGAAAGAAACGAAGAGATGACAGATTCATACATTTACTACTACCGCTACTACTCCCTCGTGCATCCCAGTCTAGAGTTACTCTTACACACTCTTGCAATCGGTGCTTTCAACCCTCTGAACAATGAATCAAAGTGCTTGCTGGAGTTACCGAGAGTGAGACATAATCGCATGCCTAGTTTGCAAACGCTTGAAAAGCCATAAGCAAACATACTGTTCCGGTGTTGACAACTGAAGTGAACATGCACTCGCACAGGCGAAGGTCGATCAGTAGACAGCAGTATTAGGGTTTCGATTTTTACACTGCTGCTTCGGTTGCTTTGGATGACAACATTCGCACCACATTCGCCAGCGGTAGCACTTGACAAGAGGAAAATGAATGACAGCATCAGATGATGAGCTGTTGTTACGAGCGGTTAGTACGCCGGCGAAGAGTGCCGAGGTTCTCGCTCAAGCCGCCGGAGTTGCAATCGAGACTAATCTAATAATGAGCTAAGACAATAAAATCGCGCTGTATGTTCTGTATTTCCAATCAAAACACCCTTGTGCACCCGGAAGGCTCTCGGAAGTTGAGGAGATCAGCAGGCAGGCTGCTCCACACGCGTGCGCCATGTCGTATGTCTTTGAGGACGGCTGCTTAGCACTCGCTCATCGAGACCAAATGTTCGGAGCTCCGAATGTGCGAGTGCAACGCTGATGGCCAAGAAACGTATAATCTGATCAACATGTGGCAGAATGGTGAGCATTCTTTTCGGGAAGTCGTGTTATCTGGGATTGATGAACCAGAAAAAAACAGTGCAAATCTATGGGATGTTACCTGTGCCCTCACTCGTGAACGTATGAACCGGGAAATCGTATGAACCAGGAACATACAAACGAGGTTTTGCTACTATATGCATAATTTAGCAAAGAATGTTCTCTACTAAATGTAGTGGGAAAGTTTCCCCATTCAATTTAGCTTTTCAGTTATGATGACGATGAGACTTGACCAATTAATCCATGAAACATGAAAAAAACTGTACAAACACTGTTTAATGAAATCAACGGTTGACCATGTGACTGAAGACCATCAAGCTGCTGACTCAGAGTTTTGTTGTTTCCTTTTAACATGACGTCTGGTAGCATAATGTCATGTAACAATATATTTTGCACGTTGCATGCTGATAAGCTTTGAACGGTCGTGGAGAATGTCTGTGTACAGAGTATAAAAAGTAGTCTGCGTGCAGCAGCGTTTGGCCGAGTGTGAAGCGCCTCAGCTGTCACCGCATTACACTTCCGGGATCTGGCAAGGATCCGGGAATTATTTTCTTGCTGTTGAATGTGTGGCACAAGTTATAGTCAAAACACTCAAGCAGTCACAAAAACTGTGGACAATGCACTATGCGTTTCCTTAAATTAGAAGTCATCAACGAACCGTTCGTCAAGGTCCACAGGTATGACGAGTTCTGTGGAAAGCTTGTTGATGATCCTGGCCTCCGCGCCAAAGCCGTTTTCTTCAAATATAGCCCGTGCCATTTCGGAAGATGTTGGCGACACTTCGCAGGAGTACACTTTATCGGCCCCCGCAGACAGGGCAAATAAGCTGGAATGGAAAAAGAACAAATGTAAGCGAGGTCATCACATAGGCAGTATGTTAGAAACACCCCGGACAATTATTTTGGCGTCCGGTCGTTCGGTACCAAGGTCAGAGCTCTAAGCTCAGCAGTGCGTTAAACTTTCGTGCTGGCCCAACCCGATGCACTTGACAAAGTTGTGAGCTCCTTCTAGTGCCTTTTGGAGATCTTCAGATACTAACTTGAGAGAATGCTGGACACTTCCCAAAAAAAAATGGTCAGTTTAACATTTTTTTTCATGTCAAACAACATAAAAAAAGGCACAAAGCTCCTGCAAGCATTTTTTATAACAAATATTTGTGCACAACTCAAGCGAAATAAAGCAGATTGCCTATAAATGTGTTCCAAAACACATTTATAGGCAAGAACAAATAGAGGGGCTGGTTGCAAAACGAACCAGAAAAATCTGCACCTGCACTCAGACAGCTCAAAGTGTTATCAAAGTAGCATGGTAATGGCGCATTTTAACATTCGTCTGAAAAATTAGAACAATATTTTTCATATTTTCTACGACAGGGTCCAACGCAGACAATTCAGTTGCCCCAGAGTCCTGTGTGCTTGTGGCGCCATTGCCTAATAACTGCAGCAAGCATTCAGTTGAAAGCAGGTAACATATTAACAAGTGCTTGCTGTACCTCATAGGACAACCAAACCAGATTGACAAGGAAAGATGTTTCAGAAGTCAGAGACTGAGGCAAGCAAACTCGTTTGTCCAACTGCTTTGACAACTAAACGCTGGAAAGTGAAAACACTGTTGCGAATACGATTACTTCGGCTGGAAACAATGAAAACGGCATAGGACGAATACAGAGAGCCACTCTCTTTTTAACTTCTACTTATTCTACTTGTCACATTTTCGAGTTTAGGATATTACTATTAAAATTATGATTATTCTTATTATATTATTATTATTATTCTTTCAGTGCCCGAAAACAGCCACACTGGTAATCTCACTGGTGCACTCTATAATCATAAAAACAAAAACACTTGTTAACAGAACATAATCACAAAATAAAAGAAGCTTTGAGTAAATTACAAGGTTATTCAATTGATGACTATACAATGAAACAGGTGTACAGAAATCGAGGTAAGGAGGAGTGCTGCTGTTCTCTAATATCTGAACCCGAGTCAGCGGTCACTAAAATATTACTTGTAAAAGTGTCAGAGAATGAAAGCCATTTGTAACAAACGACCCAGTGTTAAGAACGACTAGATTAGCTTTCTTGGTCGGCTCGTGACCCGTCAAGCTTTTAGAAAATGCTGTAAGGGCAATGCCATTAGAACTGCGCACGAACGCACAGAACCAACAATCAGGATGTGTAAGAAATTGTATCAATGCTGGGCCTTCTTACGTGCACAGTAGAAGCTATTTCACACATTTGCGTTTGAGTGCGATTGACTGCGTTGCAACCGCTTGTGACCGCCCACTATGAGAGAACACACTGCCTCCATCTATCGACTAGCCGTGGAACACTATCTGCACATAACTAGGCGGAAAGTTTTGTGGTACTCGCAAGATCGAATGTGCGCGATATCTCTAAGAGATGGTCGCTCATGACACTGTCAGAATCATTTCAAGCACACGGTGAAAGATTAACGTTTAATATACACGTGATCTGAAGTGTTCCACTGCCAAACGACAGATGGCGTTAGCATGTTCTCTCGTCGTAAGCGGTCGAACGCAGTCCGTCGTGCTGAAATGCAAACGCACGAAATAGCCGTAACTTCCAGGCAGCGTGGTCTCGCGCATATCGCCAAAAAGAGTTGGAGCGGGAACGAGCAAACCAAACCTGAGCAGTCCCGTGCCGGCTCCAATGTCGAGCACCTTCCTGTGACCCCTGGCGACGGCGGCGGCAACGGCGTCCCGGAACGCCTCGTTCCTAGAGCGGTCGTTGAGCATCTGGAAGTGCCATCGCTCCAGCAGAGAAGTCCGAAGTCCGTCCAAGCTCAGGCGGGCCGCCGTGAAGTTGGGGTTGATCTCCAGTGCTTTTCGGATGCTGGACGCGGCTTCCTTCACGTGGCCGTGCCTGTCGGAGACGAGGCGTAGCTTGGCGGTCGACCGGTTTGGACGGGATCGCGCACTGCAATCTGCCCCGCGTCTTGCGTACGGTGCACGGTCTCTGGGGACGCAAGCTTTGTTTTTTTAGTTTGAGTGGGTAATTTGGGAAAACTGGCGTGGGCCTGTGGTCCGGGAAGAGGTTAAGAGAAAGTACAATATGTAAAGCTTTGTTTTTATAGCTCTACATGTCAGAAATCGAGCACTGTCATGGGCTTCCAGAGGGGGTGAAAGGAGGGGTAGTTGCAACATCCCTGGAACGTCGGGGGTGTCGCAAATGTCATGGTCACACTGCTAATACATCTAACAATAGCAGTCTGCAGACACCGTCTGGAGCATGTTTCTTCCTTGTGTGACGGTCACATTGCTCATACAAAAAGTCTCTACTCATGTTCAAAGCGCACATATTTATAAACCAAGCATACTTCGGACATGCACGAGGTGGGTCTGCAGATAAACCTGTCATCATGCCTGTAGAAGATACCGTGTCCTTTGCATGGCGTTTGAGAAGTGTGACTGTATGACTAGGATTATGATATGTGAACGACTAGCTCGACGGTAGTCGACATGTAACAGGCACGGCGAAAGTTTGACCCCATCGTGTTCGTAAAACCGACACCCTTCCAAGTTGACGGTCCGACAGATTGCTCTTATTACCGTCGACGGAGGTATGACGATACGACCAGAGCTCTGATCCGACTGAAGGCTGGTTCGCACAGACCCGTTTTCTCGAGTTACGTTATTAAAAGGAAAGCTCCAGTTAACTAAGAAATCTGAGTCAACAGTTGATTATACAGCCCGAGAGAGTATTAAGCGGTTCTAAGTCGTTTCTTTAAAAAGAAGGGTAATATTTGTCGTGCAATCTTCGCTTGAAAGTTCACCACAAACCGAAACCGAAACCTTGACTGCGGCGGGCAACATTGCCCCTGTGTCATCATCACCTACGTCTCTAACCACATGGCACGAATCATGACGTCACATACCAGGTGGCCAGGGAAGCTCGGCGCAAGTGAAGCCCCTCAATGTAATTGCGTTTGTCTTCCGAGTAGCAACAAATACGCCGGCGCACAAGGCCCATGTCTCGAGCGGTGCAGCACTGAAATGAGCGGCCCTTGGAGGCGAATGGCAGAGGAGCACCCATTCGTGGCACGTGTGTTGTTAATTTCTACGACAATAGTTGGTGGTACCTGAAAAAAATGCCTTATCAGGGGGCATTAGGAGCAAGGGTGAAAGTGTCGTCTGCTACGATTGGCTGCCACACCCGACGATACGTGTACTACCGCGGCCGCAGCTTGCGTTGTAGCACAGGAAAAGGCAAGTGTTCCTAAGGGCTTGTTTTTAAAACATTCGTGGAAAGTGAAGTTTGGTAAACCACACCTGATTATGTCGTGATGGGTTTGTAGAAGTACACCGTGCTCAATGTAGCAAAACGCAGACGGCAATGATGCATGCTTGCACGGGAGCACATAGCGCGTGCGGATTTCGCAAATCACGAGGTCAGCGATGAGCGCGCTGCTAGCACCACCTGTAGGCTTTGCTTAAAAAGGTACAAAGCAAGCAAACAAATCTTTTCGGGAGCCCCAAGCACAACGTAGGTATCGCAGGGTGGGCTGTGCCAACACAGTGGTATTGACTATGCCATTGGCTTTGCCGCTCCATTGGCTTCGCCCACTAGAGTTAGAAAATTTTGGTAATATCGCACACCTCAAACTTTGCTTGTCAGTTTCATCAACTTTCAGGGGGAAATAGATAGAGATTGTTTGCATGTGGTCCTTTTAGGTGATACTAAAGATAACTGCCGGGGCATCTATGCCTCATATTAAGCATAGCTACCAGTTCAAGGAGATAGCCCGACACGCAACACACGAATGTTTCGGTGACTTTTACGCAACGTAAGAATCCGGTGCTGTATGAAACAACCTTTAAAAATTATAGTGCCTCTTTAGCCAATGCTGACTTGCCACAGCGATGATTTTGCGCTATAATTCGAGGACTGCTCCTGTCAAGATAAAAATTGCGTAGCCACAAAAAATAGGGTGCAGGCGAGCTGGTGTATGTTGAACATGATGGTAAACCTGAGACTGGGGTAAGAAAAGGAAACTGCAAAGGAAGACAGAAAAGAACAAGCAATGTTACTTGTTCTTTTTCTGTTCTCCTCTGCGGTTCCCTTTTCCTACCCCAGTCTAAGGTTTACCATCATGTTCTGCATACCCATGCTCCCCTTCCCCAGAAAAATAAGGTTTTGCCCCCCCCCCCCCCTTGAAAAAGGTAAAGGTCCTGCAGACGCCCATGAACGCAGTGAATCCATGTGAACAAAATGCATTGTGACTCAATATGGGAGGAGAAGCACAAGCACTTCAAGTTTATTGACTGGAGATGCATTTCTGGTATGGTGTCAAATAGTTACGATAAATTACTTTTCACCTGTTCACCACCTCGTGTGATGACATCTGCTTACCTGAACAGCAGTGACCCCAGAGAATGATGGAGTTCTTCACAGGTGTAGTACGCCTTAAGAAGCTCTTCGTAGCAATCGAACAGCTCTTTCCACTTCTCCCTTGACTCCAGGTATGCTGTGTGCTTTCCTTGACATAAGATTGGCAATGCAGAGTATCAGATGAACACAAAAAAAAAAATAAAAACTGGGTCGATTACAAAGACACCGATGTTTTAAATCTGTGATTGCCATGCCAGCCGTATCGCAAATCTCGTTTGCCTTTCATCGAACAGAAATTGTTCCAAGGGGTCAAAACTGACAGTATCAGTGAGCAGGAAGAAAAACAGTGTTGCCGTACGAAAGAAGCCAACTTGGCATAGGCGTGCGCAGGATTTTTCATTAGGGGGGGCGAGGTTTCCCCAGAGCCCCCCCGCCGCCCCCCCCCCCCCTCGCTTTCTATCAACGCACTCCCACTGATGTCCTTACGCTCATATTGTAGTGCTGAGACGATATATGTTTATGAAACATTTATTGTAACATATTGTAACATATATTGTAACATATACAAAATATTATTAAGCAGTAGGTTTCACTTTCTTGTGAAACGTCCGCAAAGAAAGGCAGTCCCTGTGCAGCTGAGGCGTCAGTGACACAACGCGCATAAAACAAATTTTCATTCTTTCAAAACCAGAGAAAGATACGACACATATGCCATCTCTAACAGCACAGAATATTTTAAAATATTGCCTCAATGTGACTCTGCTAGTATGGAAAATATAGTATACATACAGGGCAAACACATGGGTGCACCTACACATGACGAAAGCTGTCATATGGCATCTGCAACGTTCATGCAGAGGACAAAAAACGCCACCCAATACACAACGTAATAGCAAAGCTTAAAAGCACGAGAATATACCGCAGATTAAAAATATGACAAACAGCAAGTTACAATATTTAGTAAGTATTGAAGATAAACACTATGACATGCTATTTTTGTTCTTCTGAGCATCCAAATGTACAGTTGATAATCTTACTTTCTGGCGCTTGATAGAAACATAGAAACAACAAGATAACACGCACGCATTATGTCATGCTCAACAAACATTATACAAACTAATGGGTATGTTATGTGGTGGTAAAAATATTTTATGACCAGAATACTAAAAATCTGTAGCACGTCGGAGATATAGTACTTTTCACCAATCGTGAAAAGTCTAAAGCAAAATTCTACGCGATTTTGTCGTGAACTGTTCGATGACTGACTGCGTCGCGGCGTATTTTTATGGTTGTTTTTTATTTGCGCGCACTAGAGGGAGGGAACTTTGGCGTCGGTGTTTTATGCCGTCGCGCCTCGAGTCGGTCAACTTTGGGCCCCCCCCCCCCCCCTAGGTAATTAGAGGGGGCGGCCGCCCCCCCCCCCCCCCCCTGCCCCCCCTGTGCGCACGCCTATGCAACTTGGCACGTTCCTACCTCTGTAGGGCAACGTTAGGTACCAAGCTACCGCACAAGCTGCCGGTAGGTAGCCCGCCGCCTGAACTCAAAACACTGACCACGAATGAATCCGTACACAGACTGAGGAGGGTCTAGAGCAGCACACAGCGCAACAATACGTTAGATCGTACAATGCTAGGCTAAATCTCAGACATGTAGCAGTTTTCGCAGCACTCGTACTACGCCAGGGAACGTGCCACAGCGCAATTCAGAGTACTTATTACGCATCATCGAATGCTCCGAGTTTCAGTTCACACAGGCAAAAAGTTGAAAGCAACGCAACTATGGCAGACCCCGAGGTTCTCCGACTATACGATGACCGATATGACACGAGCTCCGGGTAACCACGCGTCAGTTAAGAGGGATGATCCAACTCACCGACAGCAAGCAGGAACGCTTCCTTCAGCTCATCCTTGGCGGTGGGCTGAAGCTTGAACACGACACAGAAATGTGCGAGAGCACGACCAAACTCCTCGTTTCGAATACAGTCTTCAATCTGTGCGAGCGAGTACTGCAGTAGTTTCTTTCGATTACCCGACAGCGACATAGCTGTTCTCACGCCTTTTAGAAGCTTTTTGATCTTTTAAAACCGCCACGATACACTTAAAACATTTTAAATCGACCAAGAAAGCCTGACGAAGTGGATTGTAAACGATTGGCGCCCATGTTTAAATGGCAGCCAGCACGGTACATGTCGTTCTGACGTAGCCGGTGTTTGTTCACGAAAGCTCTTTGATTTTGTCAGTTTATAACCGAATTAGGACTGGAATTGAAAGTTCTTCGGCATGGTTTGATGCGAAAACCTGTGATTTATTAAATGACGCAAAAACAACGGATAATAAAGCTGTTGCTTGAGGCATATTCCTAACCCGTGAATAGTGTGCCGATTATCCGTCGGTAGCGTGGCCGAGTGGTCTAAGGCGCTGGTTTTAGGCACCAGTCTCTCAGGAGGCGTGGGTTCGAATCCCACCGCTGCCATGCGAGCTTTTGGTTATAACCTTGGTTTCGAAGTGTCGTTTATACGCGGCTTTTGTTTGGTATTCTTTTGCTTATCAATTTTGTTTATTTATTTATTTCATGATTCAGTAGTGATATCCATACTTTTTGTGTCTACTACATACATTACAGGCTCCTGTTTATGCGTTGCTCATCAAAACTCGAGTCGTAAACGCAAATGAATTTTAGACAGACACGACTAATTTAATCGTAGTTTTCTGAAGACCCAGGTGCCATTGAACAGGGAGATTTCAACACAACGTTAATTGGATTCATTATGATATTACCACTAGTATCACCATGAACTGTCCTGTCAGTAAAGTTGTTGTTTTTTTTGTTTTTTTTTCAGTATCGGTCAGATGATGAAACTAGAAAATTAATAGTCTACAGGAACCCAACAACTCAGGTAGATTAGCTACACACAGTTCCCTTTCGTATACCTTAATCGAAATATGATTACCCAACTGCAAACAAGATTTCTGGTTGTGTATTTTTTTTTTCTGATTTGCTTTTTAGTAGATCGATTTATGTGCAATTTTAATATATTCGGGAAAAACGTTCTCCCTCAAACTTTGTTCAAACTTATTTGTTTTATTTTCTTCTTATAAATCAATTGATATAAAAATAGACCTACATTTGATATAATCTCCCGCAGGCGGGTATCAGTGGTCAACCCCTCCCCTATCCCCCAAACCGCCCCGTTTATTTTTTATTTTTTTTTAAGAATTGTGTGAAACGCCGCATGACCGAATTTTATTTATGCTACGCGTCTTCGGTTTCACGCGCCGCAAACGCGGTGACTACTTTGAGCGGCGGGACGCAGCACGCACACAAAGCAAGAGCACGCACAACCCGGCGCGACGTCGTCTCCCAACCCCCAACAGGAATCCTACCAATGAAAGCCGTCCGCGGAGTATCACGTGACACCGCCTCTTTCCACACCCTCCGCGACAGGTGTTGCTCGGCTGGCTCGGCTTCAGTCGGCGAAACGACGCCAAGTTCGTTGGTCGGTTCGTGTTTCGAGCTCGTTCTTTATTTGGTGCGCCTTTGAAAGTACGCGTTTGTTTGAGAGCGAAGAGAGAACAAAAATGTTGCTGGCATTAGACGGCGACGCCACGAAACAGCGGCAGCAATGAGTTGTCCGTACCCCTCAGTGCTACTGAGTCGACTGTGTCAACAACCGGCGTAGGATACCGACAGCATTGAATCGACCGTGACTGACCGACGCTTCGCATTACGTGAGTTCGTCGCTCTTTTTAACAATGACTTTCCGCGCACCGATTGGTATCTTTGTGCCGGACTGTTGTAGCTTGTTTTCGCGCTAACAATGTGAGTCTTTCCGGAGAGCTAGCGTCAATTTAAAAGCGTGACGACCACACAATGGAAACAAAAAAGAAACAGACGCGAACGTAGCGGCGTTTTAGTGGTGCCTCGCGTTGCCCGTGGTTGTCGGTTCGCAGAATCGTGGAGTCGATTTGTCGGAGCCGAACTTTGGCCCGGCGGAAAGTTAGTGTTCGACGAGTTGCGTTGTTTCTTTATAAGCAGCCCGGGGGTTCGTGTGAACAGATTCGATTGGGGGAGCGCTCTCTAAAGCGTGCTTCGCCGCATGACGCCCGTATGGAGCGGGGAAGCCTCCTTTGGGGGCTTGTGCTAGTTTTGGCTGTGTGGCGTTGTCGAACGATTGTTTTTGTGATCGCATACGTACTTACGTATTATTTATTCTTCTTTGTTGTCCAGTGTACTCTCTTTTTCTCTCTGTGATTGTACTCATTTTACGCGCGATAGGAATGCGCGGTATTTAGGAGTCAGAAGGAGTTTCACAAAGTTTGCTGGACTTATAATGCCCTTCGACGTGAGTGCCATTTTCGGTCGGTAAATGCCATTGGATTTCACAGGCCTTAAGATTCCGCGCGGCGAGAGTACCTAAATTACTGTGAATTGTGAACGTCTAACATCAAAAAAGCAAAATAAACACTCCAACAAAGTTTTATGCCATTTACCTGTATTCTTGAAAGTTTCGTTATCTAAAAAAAAAAAAAGCCGTGTTCACAAAATTCAATTAACGCAAAAACAAAGTATTCCTGGTCAAAAACAAAGCCTGTATTTATCTTCCCGCGCTATACCCGGCTTTACGCGACATCCAAAGGCTTTTGTCGAGGACACTGTTGCACAGCAGTGTACCGATCGCTTGGCCGCGATCTGAGTTTTGTCATCGCAATGGTTGCACACGCGTCGAAACATGTTCGCCCTTTCCGTGCGTTCCGTCCCGAGGCACTCCGTGCAGTTGTCCTCGCGGTACGCGAGAGCATCTGCAGCACAGTGCTCTCGCGTGCCACGAAAGCGCTTTGCATTTTCTCGTGTTTCTCGCGATCTTTCGCGTACCACGAAAATCCGGTCTTACCGACCTCCCATATTCAGAAGCCACAGCGCGTAGTATGCGAAATCCGTCGTGTAACCTGTGCTCCAAAGGGATTCGTAGTGCTCCGTCCCCTCGAGCCGCTTTCGCGCTTATATCACATCGTACAACAGACAGCTTGCAGACGATGTCCAAGACCTTCCTTGTATGATGGCCCCGTCACGTAGATATATATGAAACAACCTTGCTTCACAGTGTCGGGTAAAGTGCACTTAAAAAGTACTTGAAGTAGAATACAAATTAAATTAGAGGTTATGTATACATAACGTAAAGTACTACTAAGTACACTGGACGCAATGTACTCCAAGTAGAGTAGTATTGTAAATACAATGTACTTTCGAATTTAAAGAACAAGTATACTTTTTCACCGCAATCTTTCATGGTGCCCTTTCATTCCTCTATATCAGCTAGGGGTCTCAAACACGCGACCCGCGCGGGCCGCATGCAGCCCGCGACTTGCTGGGACGCGGACTGCGAGTCCCTCCGTCCCTCCGTCTTCTTAATTTAACGCCGTGTGTACTGGCTTGCACTTGAGGGCGTTAGACGTATACTAAGAGAGAGCACCTCCTTCCCCCATGTCATTCCCGTATCTTCACCAAGCACTGCTGTCGTGAGGAGTGCTATCTGCAAATATATATATATACGTATATATTTTTAATCTTTTCTCTCGCACTAACTGAGCGAGAAGTAGCGAGAGTTTGAAATGCCGCAGGAAAGCCGCCCGCAGTACAAACGGAGCAATGTGTCGCCTGCTCGCGTTTCTGGCGAGAGTATAACATCCCGCACAGTATTTCCTCATAGTTGACGAAACATCATTTTGTGATCCAAATTTAACTAGAGCGAAATTGGGGGACGTACTTTGAAGTCGGGAGTTGTACATTCCTCGGAAAACACCAGAAAAAAAAAAAAAAAAAACTTAAGTACAGGTACATACGAATGTGCTTCAATTGAAGTAGGAGTTTTCTAAACCTACTTGAGGTAGTATACTTTAAGTACAATGCACTTGAGGTACTTCACAACACTGGCTTCGAGCATGCTTGAGGAGGCGCGTCCACGGATGTTATGATATCTGCAACAAACACCGTGTCTTTTGTTTGCTGTACGAAGGGTCTGACTTTGGCTTCAGAGCACGGAGCATCACTGCAATACCACCTGCAATCACTCACCATCCCTCCGCAACCAATCGGTTTGCAGCATCCGCCGATAAAGAAGCCGAGGTACCAATCACGGAGCGACGCGCGTGGTCATATCATAAACCACGCCCTGCGATTCTTAAGATGGCAGCGACTGTATAGATACACGGCCTTTGCACTCTTCTCTCTGCAGAGCTCTAAACGGACCAATTGGTGTCCGGACACCGCTGGCTGGCTGCCGCGACAACAAGGTCACGCAAATATGCCAACAACTCCTAGAGAGGGAACCAGTCAACAGCCGCGCCACCTGCTATCGGACTCTTATATGTGACGTCATGGGGGAATAAGCGGGCCTTGTCGGTATCTTGGGGTGTTGCTCACTGCTTAAAGGATGCCATATGGCTTCATCAGGTGGGTGAAGTTTTTGTCGTGATTGACGTAATGCCAAGGCTTAAAATTATAGTTGCCAGTTATCTGAAGCTTTATCTGATATTACAAGAAACTTTTTTTCGTCCTCCGGAAATGTTTAAACAGTTCGCTACAGAGAAAGTCAATAATACATGAGCTTCCTAACACCGAATCTAGAGGAAGTCGCACTTTTGAATCATGACGATCAGCAGTTGCGTCTGCTCTGCATACGAATTAAAATGGTTGCGCCCACAATAATGTCGGGGAACAGAGTGCGGATACTCTAAGCGCAGCTCATTTAGTGGCTCTACCCCACACCTGGCCGTTTCGATGCACATTGAAGTCCTCAGGCTAGCAGTGGTACAGCACCGGCTAAATTTCTCATCTACAGCGGGGACACCAGACGCCCATTGCAGTGCATTAATTACTCTCTGTCTAAACAAACAAAGCGCAATTTACTACTTTCGAAAATTCCTCCATGCAATACTGCGCACGCGCTGCATTATGGGACCTCTTTGGCCACCGAGAGGAGTGGCATGGTTTTGATTTCGATTGCACCGTTGACGAAGTAGTGCATTTCAGCGATGAAGTAAAATAAAATGAGCGCTCGCTTGCATTCCACTCATTCATTTTCTGAGAGTCCCCGTTCAAACACGGACCTCCAGCGGGCGGCCGTAAGGACACGCCTGGACTTAGAGGGCTGCTGAACCGAAATTTGGATTCCACAAAACACGCGGTAAAAGCGTGCAACGAGATGCTACAAGCACCAAACCAGCACTCATACAGCAATATCTCGAACGGATGACCCTATTTTTTAAGAAAAGGAGGCGCATTTGACAGAGATGTTCACGTCATGTTTCTCCGAGAAGGAGAGGGAACGGCCTCGCGTCTTCTCCGCCTCGCCGCCTTGAGGGAGCGAAGCGAAGAGAGGAGGAAACGAGATATGTTTACGTCACGCGCATCGTTGGCCTGGTGCAATCTCGGCCTGTTTTTCCGAAAATACGGCCTTCCATTCGAGGTATTGCCTTACTAGTAGTGTTGTAGGGATTGTAGCGTCCCGCCTACATCTCCGGCATTGTTTTTGCTAAAATCCAGATTTCGGTTCACCATCCCTTTAGCGAGGAGTTGGAGTAAGTCCTGCCACGAACAACACCTTTCTGGTGGCCCGGCTACCACTTCACAGTGTAGCATGACCTTCCGGGGCCACAAATCATTTAAAAAGCCTAGTTATTGGGACGATATAACGTCGGGAGCCCCCCAAAACGTGCTCCAGCGTTCTATCCGTATTGAGATTCAACACCATAAATTTAAGGAAAGTCACATATTCGAAAGTTCATGCACTGTATTTGTTCGTGACGGGATGTCGTGGATTGGGGTTGGCCAAACAAAACTGAGGCTGAAAGGTACCCAATATGCTTTCACTACGCCGCTAGGTCGCTTCGGTTTTGCAAAAGGTCTATTGCAATTCCACAGCCACGCGCTCGCGCTCGATTTTTTTTTTTTTTTTCGCGTTGCAGGTGTTTGTGACCTACAGTATTCGCGAGACTCGGATCGAATTTTAGGGAAGCGTGTTCTTGTTTACCCATGGTCCTCTATGAGGCACGTGGTGATTCCCTCTGTCTGCAAGGCAGGTGGGGACAAAACATTCACACCGAATTTGTAGCTAGGGGAATACAGGACACTCTCCTCATTTTCATTAGACAGAACGACTGCCGCGCCATAAACCACCCCTGGCGGAGTGGTTTATTTGGCGACGCCTCTCTCCCCCACCCCTTCTCTCGCCGCCAGAGCACGTGAAGCGGTTGGCGGGGTTGCGGATGCGAAGACTGTACCGTTGCCGCCGTCAAGCGTGTTTCCGCGGATCTTCGTTTTCGTCTTTTGTTTTATGTATTCTCGGGGAGTGGTCTGCATCACCCTAGTAAAGTATTTGTCCCCTCTAGCGGCACAAAGCCCGGGCAAGAGTACGGAGCACAGTCTCTTACCAGTTGATTCCAGTGCACGAGCGCTGCATTGGCGCCTTCAGTGGCTACGGCCTTGCGGCCGTAGCATTCGTATTTCTCCAAGTCTAAAATAAACCGTAGTTCTGCTTTTCATCACATGAGGAGTGCCGATCAAATCTCAAGGCGAATAGCACGATAGATCAGCAATTTTCACAGCTCTATTGCTGTGAAAAGCAACTCATATGTCAAGACAATTCCATTGCTACATTGATGTCTCGGTTTAAAATCATGGCCTCGGAGATTGTCACATTGCTCGCCAGGAACCTCGGAGGCCACATTGT